GCCAGCCACCTGTGGCCATCAGCTGTGCCCAGAGTGAGCAGCTCAGGGCTGGAGCTCCATGTCCTGCCAGGCTGTGCATCCCACACCAGGCTGTGGCTCGGTGGGCTGGGCTGGAGTTGGGTCCTTCATGCTACCCCTTTCAGACCTGACTTGTCTCCTTTGCTTGGCAGCCTGTGGGGAAGGACAACGAGGCCAGAGCTGGTGACACCCCAGCTGGCAGAGGAGGAGGAGTCAGCAAGGGGCCACTGCAGAACGGGCTGAAGGTAGAGGGACAGGGGGACAAGGGGGTCACAGCCCCCCCAAGCAAGGAACTGCCCCCTGAGAAGGCTGCACCAGGGACCATCCCCAGCAAAACCCCAGCTCCTGCACCCAGCCCAGCAGTGCCTGCCCCCAAACCAGCAGAGACATCCCCCAAAACAGTGGAGACCCCTTCCAAACCGGTCGAGACAGCCACAAAAACAGTGAAAACACCTCCAAAGCCAGCAGAGTCATCCCCCAAACCAGTGGAGACCACCCCCAAAACAGTGAAGACGTTCCCCAAACCAGCAAAAACTTCCCCCAAACCAGCAGAGACCACCCCTAAACCAGTGGAGAAGTCCCCCAAACCAGCAGAGACCACCCTCAAACCAGCAGAGACCACCCTCAAACCAGCAGAAACCTCTTGCCTGGAGGGTCCCAAGGTGGCAAAACCAGTGTGCCTTGAGAAGGGCCCCAAAGACTCCCACCTTGGGGGCAGCCCCACAGCTCCAGTCCCTGCACCCAGCAAGGGTCCTCAGCAAGGCAGCAAAGTCCTGGTAAAGGAGGGGAACGTGCCCAAGGGAACAGGCCCTGAGAGCAACAAGAAGAAGGAGACACCCCCAAGGCACGAAGAGTCCCCAGCCAAGGCAAGAGTCCAAAGGGAGCTGGCACCAGCCAGGAAAGAGCCAGAGAAGATGAAGAAAGATGTTGGAGATGGCAAGAAGGAGCCAAGGGAATTCAGAAAGCCTGGAAAATCCACAAACAGATCAGAGGGGCTCAAGGCAGAGCTGGGAGGGGCCCAGGAGAAGTCCAAAGATGTGACAAAGGAGATGGGGAAGGTGAAGGAAGAGCTGGGAAAGCCTAAAGAGATGCTGAGGGAGAGCAAAGGGATGGACAAGAGCCCAGACAAGGACCAGAGTAAAGAAACACTGGGAACGAGCAAAGAGAAGAGCAAGAGCATGGACAAGGACCAGGGCAAAGAAACACCAGGAGAGTGCAAAGAGATGAGTGTGAGCACAGACAAGGACCAGGGTAAATCAGCATCAGATGAGAGCACAGAGAAGGATGAGGTAATGTGTCTGCAGACCTGTTGGGGTGTTACTGAGGGTTTGGGGAGCTGATGCCATTTTCTGGTTTCGTGCAGCCCTTCCCATTCCCATGTGCTTGGGAGACAGCCCTGGGGTTGGGGTGGGTAGCAGAGGCTCTGGCTGGAAGTGTTGCTGTCCATGGGGCAAATGCCCTTTGCCCAGCTCAGTTTCCCACCACCTCCTGCCTGATTCCCTTCTCTCCTCCCTGCAGGCTCCGAGGGATGTTTGGTACGAAGCAGAGAAGGTCTGGCTCATCCAGCAGGATGGATTCACACTTGGTAACTTGACTTTCTCTGCCCTTGCTTTCCAGCACCAGAGATGAGAGTTGTTGGGAACATGGTGGGCTCTGGGTGCTGCATTGGCACCGTGTCCAGCTGTGCTCCAGCAGGACCATGGCTGGATTTGGCCCCTTGGCAGCTCCTCATGCCTCTGCCCTGGGATGCCTCAGCTGTGCCATGCTGGAGGGACTCACTGACCTCTCATTGCAGCCACACAGCTGAAGCCAGACGTGGGGACCCCCGAGCTGCCAGCGGGGAGGGTGAGGGTGCGCCGGGAGGAGGATGGCACCATCACCGAGGTGGATGAGGACAGCGTGCAGAGGGTGAGCCCCTTCCCAGTCTGGGCTGGTGCAGGGATGAGAGCCCTGGTGCAGGGCAGTGCCTGGGCATGATGATGCTTCCCAGGCCATCACCCCGGGCTGGGTACCAGGTGTTGGGATGCTGTTGGGTCCGACACAGCTTGTGCCACGGCAGCAGAGCTCGAAGGTTCTCTGGCTCTCCTCCCGCAGACCAACCCCCCCAGCTTGGATCAGGCAGAGGATCTGGCTGCTCTCATCAGCCTCAACGAGTGCAGTGCCATGCACACGCGGCGGCAGAGGTACCGCGCCCGCCTGCCCTGCACCTACGCCGGGCACAGCCTGGTGGCTATCGCGGGCGCCGGCGGCTCGGGGAAGGTGAGCGCGGACGGAGAGGGGGGGACACTGTGGGGAGGAGGGATCTCCCCTGGGAA